GGGTTAGTGCAAAAATGGCGTCACTGACCCTATCCATGCATTGTCCCATTGGATGCACTACATCATAATAAACAACTTTTGTAAAGACACCAAAGCAACTAATGTGACTGTTTACCTTAAAAAAGGAAAAATAAAAAATAGTTAAAAAAGATGCTCAGGGAGAGTTTCAAACTCTCGACTCCTACGTTGGTATTAATATATATTTTTCACAAAACCTGTTCGCAAAGCATACAAAATATTAATTGCTTTAATCGAGCCAAGTAATTGATTAATTTATGCCGATTTTGATTCAGGCATGCATTGTCTCTGGATCTGAGTGTGTGCAAAATTTCGGATCGATTGGACAACGGGAAGTGGACGACATTTTGATTCGATTATTTTGACCACGACATACAAACGACTGTCGACTCCTACGTTGGTATTAATAAACCTGTTCGCAAAGCACTTGTCGAATAAGGCTTCCATACAAAATATTAATTGCTTTAAACAAGCTAAGTAATGGATTAATTGATGCCGATTTTGATTCAGACATGCATTGTCTCTGGATCTGAGTGTGTGTGCAAAATTTGGGATCGATTGGACAACGGGAACTGGACAACATTTTGATTACAAGATTTGACCACGACATACAAACAGAGGAATGAAGTTTAATAACATTTTTTCACAACTTCGTTTAACTCACCCTAGAGAAGTAAGTCAATAATGCGGCGCCTGCTCCCACATCAACGCTTACTTGAATTAATTGATTACTTTATAAATTAATCTTCAATGTACAACTTTTGTTTGTGTGGAGGGTGCCCGTAACTCGTTCACACGGAGCAGGCGCGCCTGAGATACGTGGCGCCTGCTTCTTGGGCGAAGCGATTCGAGAGTTTAGGGACCGCGGCGTTTTTGAGCTACACATATATATTTAATAAGGCATCCATACAAAATGTTAATTGCTTTAAAGGAGCCAATTAATCGATTAATTTATGCCGATTTTGATAAAGGCATGCATTGTCTCCGGATCCGAGTACGTGTTCAAATTTTTTAATTGATTGGACAACAGGAATTAGGCAAAATTTTAATTACAAGATTTGACCACGACAAACATAGGAGTCAAGTTAAATAAAACCGTTGAAAAACTACAACGTTTCAATTCCAACACAAGCAGTCGTGATCAGGATGATGATAACCGCATCCTGATGATGACCGCTTGTATTGCCATCGAAACGTCGTAGTTGAGTTTTTTTTTACCTATCTACGTGACTTTCCGAAAGACCCAAAGAATACACGAAAAAATTCCTTGAGGAAAGGAATAAGCACAAAAAGTATTTTTTTAAAGTGAGTTTGCTAATCTAGAAAGGACTAGGACAACAGATTAGGATAGTAGAAGTGGCTTATCACATGCATATTTATCGGAACCCAAACACTTAAAATGCATGCTGCAAAATGTGTAGGGGAAAACCATAGGACCGAGAGAAAAATCCACGTGACCACGGTGAAAGAGACGCACAAACTCCAAATATATAACAGGTGTCAGGGTCAGGATCGAACCCACGACCTCCTGTATACCAGGCAAGGTAGTTAACGTCTCACCGCCGAGGTGACATCAGGTGTCCATCTCATTAATTGCAGCATGACCGAGATAATGTGGGTGATTAGGAGCATAAATCATCATGTGAACGTTTATCATCCTCGCAGCGGCATTTGGCTAGCCATCGAACAAAGATCGTCACCGCATCGCACGCTTTCAGATGTGTTTCTGCGGCCGTCTGGAAGAGCTCTTCCAATATTAGTAAGCCACTAGGAGCTATGTACTTTTAAATTATCATTTAGTTTGGCAAACTCATTTTTAAAAATGTTTTTTGTGCTTAGCATGTTGTCCCCCCCCCCCCCCCCCGCACCTCCGATTAGCATGGTTGGCTATGTATGGTGCGAAAGAAGTTCAACATACCATACGTAAGTAAAACAAGAAAACTAGAAGAGGTTTTGTTTGGGTTAGATTGCGTGAATATAAACGTTTTGCTCGCAACACAAGCAATCGTCATCAGTGGATGACGATTATAGAGCTCAAACACATTCCTGCGGAGGGAGCTGGTAGGAACGTTGGGTTGCTCGGTCAATGGCCAGGGTTAACGGCGGCGTGGTGTATTCCGCAAATATGCCCGACTGTGAGGGCGGGCACAAGCCGGCGTGAGTAGGTTAAACGTTGAGATTTATAAGGGCAACATGGGGTGACCAGCCCCTCCCCGACCAGCCCCTCCCCACCCAGCCCCTCCCCACCCAGTTCCTCCCAACCCAGATCCACCCCTCCCACCCCCCACCAAGCCCCACCCTCCACCCAGCCCCACCCCTCCCATTTTATTCGAGAGGTCCGGATACACGTGGACAGACATCCACAGACATACACAATTAATCCCCTGCCTCCTGTGAATTAATCCCGGTTGGGCTTCCAGTCCGCAACGTTTCCTACCAGTAATGCCCACTAGGAGCGCATTTGTTATATATCCGGGTGTCCGGATACACGTGGACAGACATCCACAGACATACACAATTAATCCCCAGCCTCCTGTGAATTAATCCCGGTTGGGCTTCCAGGCCACTACATTTCCTACCAGTAATGCCCACTAGGAGCGCATTTGTTATATATTGGGGTGTCCGGATACACGTGGACAGACATCTACAGACACATACAATTAATCCCCTGCCTCCTGTGAATTAATCCCGGTTGGGCTTCCAGTCCACTACGTTTCCTACCAGTAATAATAACTTTGCACATGGCCTGAATTCCCGCGTTGATGCCTTCGTTTACTAGAGACGGCTGCCGCAACACCGCTGAGTGCAACTAGTCAGGCGTCGCAGCGCACTCCCCGTCATGAACGTCGACAATGCCGTAATCGTTTTCATCAACCCCGTCATTATCGTTGTCAATATAGTGGCTCATCGACGCAATATCCTTGTGGTCATTTACAATGGCGCGTCCTCCTCAACAGCATTAGATTCATTGGCGATGAGCTGCCGCATCTCAGCAGGATCGTCAATGGTGATGCCTTCAAAGCTGGGATGACGCAGTTCCTTCCATGTAACCAGCCATTCGTACGCGCCGCCCGCGTCCAACTGATACAATGCCCGATAGTGCCGCGATGCCTTGCGCCAGGCGTCACGTGGGTCCAAAAACGTCACATGTGGGCGATGCGCCGGCGATAGATTGGGCAGGACCTTGGCAACTTCAATAGGGCCATCCGACAGAAAGCAGATGCTATGTGCAGTCGAATGGTTTGGGCGGACGAGCAAGTCAATGTTAAAAGCACGAGCCGGCAAAACCGCACGTAGAGTGTTGGAGTTCAACAAAGGCAATGCCCCACGGCGGCCATAGTCGCGTCCATTTCGCAGACTGAAATCATGCTTGACTGGGTCCTTTTGGCAGATTACGCAGAGAACAACGTTCTTCGGGTCCGGCACCAGGTCCGGGTTGAGGTAGTAGTATACGTCTTCCACTGGCAGAACCGAAACGTGGTGCTCGACGATGTGCTGCGGCATGGCACGGATTTTTAACACGTCACTTTCACTGAGCTTGAAAGACGGATGCAGCTTGCCGACAGGTCCTGCATCTCGGATGGTGTTGTTCATTTCAAACTGCACTTCGTTGCAAGAGGCGCAAACTGCTATGCGACCAGTTGCCGGGTCGTGAGCACGCGCACTGGCCTGACAGCGCGCCGCGTTGTCCTGGCCAACGGCATCACCGATTGCTCGCATAATGCGCTCGCAGACAGCCGGTCCGCCTTCGCCACGAAGAGCCGAGTCGTTAAAAACAAAGGCGTCTGGATGGCCTGAGCACAGGTAAAAATACAGCTGGCCAAAGTGCGGATGTTTTGTATAGTTTTGCGATTTGGCCAGAAACTTGACGGTTTCGGCGTCAATTTGTCAAGCATCCAAGATATTTTCTACAATTTTGGCCAGCATTTCGTCTTCGGACTGGCGCGCAGACTTTTTGGCGGAGCCCTTGTGCTTGTGCTTGGCCGAATTGGCTACTGGCTTCTTATTATGTCTGGCGGCAAGATTGCGGGTTTGGTTGGCGAGCAGACGGGCCGCCCTGACTTCTGGTGTTTCATTCTGTCTGGCAGCGCGTTTGCGGTTTCTGTCGGCGAGCAGACGGGCCGCCCTGACATCTGGCGTCTCGTCCTGTCTGGCAGCGCGTTTGCGGTTGCGATCTGCGAGCAGACAGGCCGCCTTGATATCTGGCGTCTCATGCTGCCGGGCGGTGCGTTTGCGGTTGCGGGGGGCGGGCAGACTGGCCGCAGTGGGGCTCAGGCTTGAATCCATAAGTTCTTCGTGACAGTTTCGCCAATGGGTCGTGCGCAGAAGGAAGCAAAATGAAAAGTGAGCAGAATTATAAAACGACACCAGAAAGTGCAGTGTAAAAGAGGTCGCACCAGAAAGTACAGTATAAAAAAGGTCCCACCAGTCGCACCAGAAAGTGCAGTGTAAAAGTGCCCTACCCTACTTACCCTACCTACCCTACTCTACCACCCATCCCCTACCTACTCTATGTAACTTACCTGCCCTCCACATCCACCCTACCCCTACCCTAACATTCCTTAACCAACTCCTACCCTACTTCTACGGACATCTCTCCTGGTATCCGGATAATAGAGAATGTATTATCCGGATATCATATATATATCCGGGTGACCGGATACACGTGGACAGACATCCACAGACATACACAATTAATCCCCTGCCTCCTGTGATGATAATCCTGGTTGGGCTTCCAGTCCACTACATTTCCTACCAGTAATGCCCACTAGGAGCGCATTTGTTATATATCCGGGTGTCCGGATACACGTGGACAGACATACACAATTAATCCCCTTCCTCCTGTGAATTAATCCCGGTTGGGCTTCCAGTCAACTACGTTTCCTACCAGTATTAGTTACTACTTTAGCACTAATTGGTTGTGTGTTGGAGAGCAAAAACCCAAAGCGTATTTTTTCTTTCCTCTCTCTCCGCAACCTTACCTTCACCAACGTCCTCCTCATCCAACTCCACCTCGACAAAGTTTTGGTCTGCAGTGGCCGGGCACCCACGGAAACTCCCCGTCACCGCCGGTCTCTCATTGGCTCTTCTCTCAAATTTGAAGTGATTAAAATCCAGGCCTGTAATAATAATAAGCACAATCATTCATGACAGATGGAAGGTCTAATAATAGTGGTTGTTAACCTTTACTGCAGCCTTGCACACTTTTGGTTCTCAATCGTAAAAAAAATGTATAATGTTAATAAACACAGAAGGTTTGATGAAACAAAATATTTTTTACTTACGTGACCATGCTTAATTTGTGTTTCGACGATTTGCCTTATAAAAACATAAGGCCATTTCTCACAGCCCCCAGAAAGGGCATCTCGCACCCCCAGAGGGTGCGTGCTCCTCAGGTTAGTAACCACTGGTCTATTAGATGTAAAAAAACAACCACTGGTCTATTTGATGTAAAAAAAACAACCACTGGTCTATTAGCTGTGTAATGACAGGGTGACCACTGCCGGTCTGTAAGGGTAATTACGGTTATAGCTGCATTACATAATGCCTTATTATGAAGGGGCATATCTGGGGTAAAGGTCAAGGGCGGAGTCGGTCGAGAAGCTCCGGGAACCATCCCGAAGGGTCTAGAAGGTTATAGAAAGGGGGCGTGGCCAGAGGTGGAGCTTGGCCACGTCAGGCAGATATAAGGAGCACCGAACTAGAGCTTCGGGGCTATTAGTTAGCGCCTGGTTGCGTCGCTGCTGTCATCATCTCTTCGTCTTCGACCACGTGGCTGTTCTCCTGCAAGACCAGCTCCGTCACCACCACTACGCTTGTCAACCCACAGGCTTAGCGCAGGACGGAGATGTGCTGCGTGTTTGGACAGCCTAGGTGTAGCCACGTTACGAAGTGTATCGCCCTGTGTGCTCTTAAAAAATAAGAAGCCTTCTACTAGACGTGTGTCGGAAGTCGCTCACTAGAGATGTAAAAAAAACAACAGTGTTGCATAGGCAGGTTATGGATATATCAAATATATTTTTGTATTCTTGACGTGTTTACTTAAGTTTTGCTCTTCGCATCTTCAGCTTTAAATTCCACTGAACTAAAAGTTATTATTTTAAGTCATTAAACCTAAACTGCCTCATTGTGGGTGCGTGCACCTCAGGTTAGTAACAACTTGTCTATTAGATGTGTAGTCACGTTAAGAGTGTCAATATGGTGTTAGCACCAGCCAATGTCACAAGAATGCGACTGTGCGCCTGGAACCTCTCTCGGGGGCCAGAGTAAGTACGGCATGCGAGCAGGCCCTAGGGGGCATAGTCCTGTTGACGGCCTGAGAGAGGGCAGGTGAGGATGGGGTAGTCTGGGTGAACCCGAGAGGGCACGTGACCGGGGCAGGGTAGCAAACGGGGCTTGAGGGACACGTGATGCTCGGTCGGGATCCTTAGGGAAAGATCCCAAAGGGGGCGTGGCCGAGGGTGGAGCGAGGCCACGCTCAGGAGCATAAAGGGGCAGGCCCAGGAGCGTTCGAGGCTGTTCTCTGGAATCAACCCATGGCGCTACGTCTCTCCAATCTTCGGTCTCCGCTCAACATCGTGGGTCAGTCAGGATGTTACTGACTGACCCGGTTATGTAGTTACCCTGTTGGGGTCTAGTTAACGTGTGTACGTTTATGTAGTTAGCCCTGTTGGGGCTGTGTAATAAACGTGTTGCCTCCAAGTCAAGTGTGTGCCTCCGTGAAGAACACTACAACTGGAGTCAGAAGTGAAAAATAATAGTTAGGTGATAGCCTAGCGGAAAATAATGTTAACTAAGCGGAAACAACTCACCAAGTCGTCTTCACACGAGGAGGACGACGGGGCAATTCCACAGACAGCCCCGGGAGCTGCAGCCCCGGAGATGGAGCGCGAAGATCTTCTGCTGGCAGAGCAGGAAAAAAGCCTGGACCTCGCCGCGCCGTCGCCGCCGGAAAGGGAGCGCCGATCGTGGGACGAGTGCATCGACGACCTTCTGGCCGCGGTGGCTGCTCTGGCCGCCGTGGCTGCTCTGGCAACCGTTTTAAAGAGGGAAGAGGACGTCGGGGCACCGGAGCAGCAGCAAGACGTCTCCGCCGCCGCTGTTTCCCGCGCGTGGGAAAACAGAGGCGCGGCCTGCGCAAGTGGTCGCGGGATGGGATTCCCGCCAAAACGGACCTCCTGCCGAAAGAGTTGAAGCTTCAGCACTGCATTTTGAAAAAAAGGCTTCCCTTCCTTAGGAAATTTGCCGCTGCGGGTGGCAACGCTTTGCCGCCACCTGCGATCTTGCGGGGTGGACGGAGATGGAGGCACTGCGGGCGCTTCCCACAGCACTCGACGACGACGCCTTGGCAGCATTCGAAGCCATCCCGTCCGGAGACAAGTCGACGCTGTCTCAAGCCCTCGCACAGATGGCGGCGATTTTTGCACCGCCATTCAATAAGCGCCAGAAGTTCGCCATGCTAAGGCGGGGGGAGGCCGAGACGCCCCTCGCCTTCCGCAGTGCGCATATGGCGCTGGCGAAGTCTGCGTAGCCCGGGATGGACCACGTCGGAAGGGATTCCCTGGTCCTTGAAAGAATGTTGCTGCTGGCCCAAGAATTTAAAGTCATCATGCCAGCCACAGAAGAGGATGACTTGTCCTCACTCAAAGTTGCACCGTGCCTCAAGGTACATTTCAACATCCAGCAACGTGCGACCGTGGCCGCGTGCATTGGACCTTTCAAGGGCGAAGGTGTACCCGAAGACGCGGAGCCTCTGCAAGCCTGTGCTTCACTGGACGGTGCAAAGTGGAAGAAGGCCGATGCAAGACGACAAGGTGGTCGAGTACCGGCCAAAGGAGACCTTCCCTCGTAAAAGGGACGACCCGGTTGTCTGCTTCAGGTGCGGCCTGCCAGCACACGTCTCAATGGGATGCCGTGCTCGACAAGGGAGACCCTTCACGACGCCGCCATCCTACACTCAACCGTCCTTCACTCGGCTGGGTCCTCAGGAGAGTTGTGGCGCACCACACGCACAGCCCTTGCAGTCATCTCAGGCATCGTGTTCGGAGTTGCGGGTCGTCGGTTCTCGCCGGGTTGCATTGCGTGAGGGTCAGCTTGTTGCGGGTGATGGGGTCTCGGTCAGTTGTTGGCATTGGGCCGCTGTGTTGTTGCTGCTGTGACAGGATCGTCAGCAGTGATCGGAACCGTTCAGGGAATAGAGGTGCGAGTGCTCATCGATACCGGAGTATATGCCACCATCATTTCAGACATGATTTTTAAATGTTTGCCACTAAATTTGCACACCATTCGGCCCGTTGACATCCCCTGTTTTGCCGCAAATGGACAATCCTTAGGGATTATTGGCCAGATATTGGCGACGGTCAGTATAGGCGACATTCGGTTAACAGGACCAGTACTTGTTTCAAAGTCCCTGGCTGTACCCTGCCTGTTGGAGACATAGTTTCTAGGGAAAATGCCGCTGAAGATCCATGTGGATCAAGGCTGCATTGAGTTACCGTCGGGCCGCCGGATGGTGTTTTTGTCCTACCCGACTCAGTTTCGCACGGCTAACGCTTCGGTCCCAGCGCTGGCCGAACAAACTGTTAAAATCCCCCCCAGTGCACAGATGCTCGTCCCCTTGCATCTGCGAAAACAACTGAACCGGGAAACGACCACGGGAGGGATGCTGTTAGTCCCCTCCAACAAGGCGGTCTGAGGTCAAACCTTAGGGTATGCGCAAACCTTAGTGGCAAACGATCAGCACCCATTTATCCAGGTTTTGAATGTCGGTTTGGAGATGTCCGTCAAACAAGCGGCTACTGTTTTGGCTCACGCGTCGTCCGCGTGTTGCGAGGGGGAAAACGCCAGGACTGTGGGAGTTGCGACGGCTGTGGGGGAGGGGGAGAAAAGTGACGAGTCATGGATTGATGCGCTCTGCTCCATGAGCCCAGATTTATCCAAGGCACAGAGGCTCCAGTTGCATGCACTTTTGACGGAATTTTCCGCCATTTTTAGGAAACCAAATACGATATTGTTACATCACCACATTGATACGAGAAACGCAGCCCCCATTCGCCAAAACCCATACAGATTAAGTCCCAAGGAGAAAGACCACGTGCGTCACGCGGTCGACGAGATGTTGGCCGCTGACATCATTTCCCCATCAAACAGTCCGTGGGGGGCCCCCATTGTGCTTGTGAAAAAGCAGGATGGGAGTCTAAGATTTTGCGTTGATTTCCACAAACTCAACAATGTCTCCGTGGCTAACGCGTATCTCCTCCCATTGATGGATGACTCCTTGGACACTTTGTCAGGGGCGCGGTTCTTCTCCACCCTTGATTTGTTGTCGGGGTTTTGGCAGTTGCCCTTGGACAACAGTTCTAAACCTAAGACCGCGTTCCACACACCCCAAGGGTTACTCGAATTTAACCGGCTCCCGATGGGACTTTATTCGGTCCCTGCCACGTTCCAGAGGCTCATGGAGTTGGTGTTGGCAGGGCTCCAATGGGACGCTTGTCTGATTTACCTGGACGGCCTCACTGCTTTCGGCCGTACGTTCGAGGAAAACCTGCAGAGGTTGCGTGCGGTTTTTCTTAAAATGCGGACTGCGGAACTGAAATTTAAGCCGCAAAAATGTAATTTTCTGCAAAGGTCGGTCCGGTACCTGGGATACATTGTCAGCGAATCCGGGATATGGACGAACCCTGATAAAAGTGAGTGCATGCGCACATGGCCAACCCTCAAGTCGGTGGGTGAAGTGTGTAGTTTTGTTGGGTTCACCTCCTATTATCGACGTTTTGTTCCCGGGTTCGCCACTATCGCAAAGCTTCTCCACGTCCACACGGCAAAGGGACATAAATTTCGATGGGGGGAGGAGGGGGATGCGTTTGCCATGCTGCAAAATGGCCTGGTCAACGCACCTCTCCTTCGGTACCCTGATTTTTCTTTGCCCTTCATCCTGGATATCGACGCCAGTAACACTGGGATTGGTGCCATGTTATCTCAGGTTGTAAACAGAGTAGAGCGTGTGGTTGCGTACGGGAGAAGAGTAGTGTCCCCGGTGGAGCAGCGCTACTGCGTGGCGCACCGTGAGTTGCTGGCTATCATTCACTTCATCCAGCAGTACCGTCCGTACCTCTATCGAAGGAAGTTTGAGGTACACTCAGATCATGCCGCTCTCCAGTATGCGCTACGAGTCGAACAGCCGTCTGGCCAACTCTCCCGATGGCTAGAAGTCCTTCAGGACTATCACGACTGCCACCAAGTGATCAGTGTGCATGCATTACGGAGGCAGGGCGTTGCAAGCTCACTGAGACGGGACCGTCTCGCACAGTTGTGGCACACACAGGCACTGCTGACATACTGGACCACACAATCGGCCTCAACCACACGGAATGGGAGTGATTCCAGGCAGAGGATGCCTCCTTATTTAAAATAAGGCGCCATGTTAAGAACTTCGAGGAGGGTGGGGGCCGATGAGCATTTTCTACGGTGATCCTTAGAGGGGGTCTATTGATGAGGTGAGATGAGGAATTGCGGAAATATAACATCGTTGTGCCCACCGTTTTGCGGGGCAAAGTAATATGGGCGACGCATGAACGAGTGATGCATCTTGGTGTCCAAAAGACATTGTCGACTCGCCAGCTTAACTTCTTCTGGCGTCCATAATGTTTTAATAGGATGCACAGAACGCGCTCGTCGGAAACCCCTGCCAAAAATGGCTTCTCCCCCTCTAAAATTAACATTGATACATATAATACCATGTAATTTTTTTTTTAAATATTGCTGTCTGGCTGGCTGGAGGGACGGATAGATGGATGTGAAGGTCCAAAGGATGTGGACATTGTTCGTTTGATGATGACGCAAAAGATTACCGGTTCTGTTTTTGCCAAGTTATATTCCTTACATATAAGCTCCAAGCAGCCAAAAATCAAGACAGTGGCACTCACTCGGCCGAATCGTGAACGGCTACAGACATGACAAACAAAAACATCATTGAGGAACCAGGAGTGTAGGAGTATCGGGCTTCTCTCGCTCACGACAAACCTGCATAAATGGTAGATCAAACAATCACCTAACTACAACTGTGGTAAAGTTCAAGCCGTCAAACGTGTCATCGACGATTTTGCCATTCCATGAACATCCTGGCAGTGTCGCTGCAATCCATACAGCGTCTACTGACATCCGAGAGACATAGTAGTAGTCGTGCTGTTGTTTTTATAAAGAACGTCATTGGTCACCACAGAGAACCGTAGCGACACGACTGCCGCATTCTACGATAGCTGGGCACCAAAACTGTGCCACACGCCCCTCCCCGCATTGGCCTTGAGGGGAGCCTCCAGACCAAAAAAGGTAATTTAATTTAGTTTTTCTGCCGAATCCATTCCAATTACGTACATTTACACTACGTCATCGGAACGGGAAAGGGTTAAATGCCCAAACAGACCTTAATTACGTAGGGGGCTACAGAGCTTGGGAAATTGTTGGCACCGGCTCAGCACACGGACGTGTTCCTGCTTGTTTGTGGTTCCTCGTGCCTCCGAGTAATCCGCTCTCCTCAAGAGTGAGCGAATACCGTGCGCGTTATAAGTTAATATTTTGTGTTTTAAATGTTTACTATGTGAAATTGGCATAAATAAGAATACAAATATCCTACTATAAAAAGTTACCATATTTACTGTACGGTACTTACCACTCTAATCTCGAAGACTCTGCATGGGGTGATGTACGTAGTACTACTAGGCTCTTGTTTCACCAACCATGTGTTTGAAGATCGCCAGACCTTTGGAGCGGTTTTGCCGGATCGGCCTGGGACCGCTGGATAATATTGGAAGATGGATAATCTCTCGCCGGGTAATCGATGATCAACTGTAGCATGACTGAGATATGATTAGTGTTAAAAACTAAACATATAATTTTCTCTGTCTTATTCTTTCGTATGGCTGATGTAGATGCAGAGGAACAACTACAATGTCACATTCAGGTGGTCAAGCCCAGACAACCGCAGAAGCAGAGTAGCGAATCCTCATCGCTGTGATGATGTCTCCTTCGTATTTGTGGATTGGGGGCATTGAGTCGTTATACGTTGTGTACGGTCTGTTAAGCGGCCACAGTCGAACCACACAGACATTCTTAGCTCATCACTAATATAATGAGCCAAGATTGTCTGTGTGTAACGCACGTGACATCACTCCACGTCGACCAGCCCCCCTCAATAATCATGAACAGGTGGGGTTCTCCACATGGACCCCCCCCGCACCGTCAATAATAATCATGAATGGGTGACGTCACTCCACATGAAGGTGGAGCGGAAACGAGAATTTGTTTATGCAAATTAGCTTTCATTTTGACCTTTCTTCATGGAAAGTAAAGCTAATAAAGAAATCAAAGCAGCAGCTAATATAACGAGCTAAAAAAGGCTGTGTGTGTGTCCCGCGCGTGACGTCACTTCACATGCGCCCTCCCCTCATTATTATTCATGTGTGCCTGGATTTTTAGATTAACGCAGAAGGTCGAGCGGCTAAATATGGTATACCGAGAAATCTTCCCAAGTCCTTAATTTCATATAATAAGAAACATTTCCTTATGTGCTACATTTCCTAATAAAATTTACAATCACAAAATAAAACATTAATTTACATCTTTTATTGTACAGCTTCCGTCCTAGGACGGGCTAACAAGCTAGTTATATGAGTTATATGAGTGAAGTAGACTCGTTGGGACGTGTCACGAAATACGTCGAGAACAAATTAAGAACAATATTTCAACTGGTTTTTTTGCAAATATATCCTCCATTTAACAATAATTAATATGGAACAAACTTAACCAGCCTAAAAAAGGTTACACTGGGCGTAACAATGATCAATACACAAAAATATTACTTTAGGAAAGGAATATGACAACAGATAAGGATAGTAGAAGTGGCTTATCACATGGACATTTATAGCAACCAAATTTCGATTTAAAGCTTTCGTGACTGCAGGGATTCATATTCTTGGTTCTTTCGGTAAAGTCACGTAGAAGGGAAACAATAAAATAATAAAAATATAAAACAATAAAATTATCACGCCGTTTAGACCTGATGATTGCTTTTGTTGCAGTCAAAACGTAAGTAAGAATTTAATTGTTTTATATTTGTATTACTTCCCTTCTACGTGACTTAACCGAAAGAACCAAGAAAAAGCAACCAAATACTTTAAACGCATGCTGCAAAATGTGTAGAGGAAAACCATAGGACCCAGAGAAAAATCCACATGACAACGGTGAAAGAGACGCACAAATTTCAAAAACACAACAGGTGTCAGGGTCAGGATCGAACCCACGACCTCCTGTATACCAGGCAAGGTAGTTAATATCTCGCCACCGAGGTAACATCAGGTGTCCATCTCATTTATTGTAGCATGACCGAGATAATGTGGATATTAGGAGCATAAATCATCATGCCAACTCCTATCATCCTCGCAGCGGCTTTTGGCTGGCCATCGAACAAAGATGGTCACCGCATTGTGCGCTTTCAAATGTGCTTCTGCGGCCGCCTGGAACAGCTCTTCCTCCTGATATTAGTAAGCCACTAGGAGCTATGTAGTTTTAAATCATCATCTAGATTTGCAAACTCATTTTTAAAAAATGTTTTTTTGTGCTTAGTATGTTGTCCTTTCCCCCCTGTACCTCCGATTAGGACGATTGGCTATGTACGGTGCGAAAGAAGTTCAACATACCATACACGTACGTAAAAAAAGAAAACTATAATAGTTTTTTTTTTAGATTGCATGAATATAAATGTGTCGTTAAACCCGCTACCACTCGATACAGCCAATTAATAAGGTTTGTCACGTAAACAAAATGTGCCAATTAGTTAATACTTTAGCACTAATCGGTTGTGTGTTGAAGAGCAAAACCCACAGCAACATTTACACATTTGAGTACTGCGACATTTTCGCTGGTAACTATGACAACAACCAGCCTCGTCAGGTGATTCGCCAGAACTGTGGAGAAATCCTTTTCTTGTTTGTGGTGAAAGCCTACTTAACGTATACAGCCAATTAATAAGGTTTGTCACGTAAACAAAATGTGCCAATTAGTTAATACTTTAGCACTAATTGGTTGTGTGTTGAAGAGCAAAACCCACAGCAACATTTACACATTTGAGTACCGCGACATTTTCGCTGGTAACTATGACAACAACCAGCCTCGTCAGGTGATTCGCCAGAACTGTGGAGAAATCCTCCTCTTGTTTGTGGTGAAAGCCTACTTAACGCGTTAAACAAAACGAGAAAGCGTTTTTTTACACGCTTTTATTTAACTCACCGTCTGTTGTTGTCGTATCCTCAAATCTTGTAACTACATTTTTACCCACTTCCCAATGTGGTATCGACTGCAAACTTGGTATACTTATGTCACACTGATGACAATACTATATTCTATAATTAAAAAGTAAAAAAATAGAAACAATCTTTTTGTTATGTTATGTTTCGGCTTGGGTCTAATTGTCCACGCTCAACTGACGTTGGCTGTAAATCACCACGGTCCCTTACGTTATGGCAAGCTTCGGGGCCACTTCCTGGAGTCGTGGAGTTCTGCCATTACTCGTACGGTACATTTCATTAAAGCGTGTTTAAAAAAAAGTATTTTTAAATATTACTTATCTTTCCTCTCTCTCCGCGACCTTACCTTCGCCAACGTCCTCCTCATCCAACTCCACCTCGACAAAGTTTTGGTCTGCAGTGGCCGGGCACCCACGGGAACTCCCCGTCACCCTCGGTCTCTCATTGGCTCCTCCCTCAAATTTGAACTGATTAAAATCCAGGCCTGTAATAATAATAATAATTTGCACAATCATTCATGACAGATGGAAGGTCTAATAATACAGTAGTTCTTAGCCTTTACAGCAGCCTTGCACCCCTTTGGTTCTCAATTGTAAAAATATTTGATAATCTTCTTGGTTCTTTCAGTAAAGTCACGTAGAATGGAAATAAAATAATAAAAATAAAATATAATAAAATAAAAATAACATTTTATTTTATGTTTTATAAAATTTAATTTTATTGTGTTTTATTTTTAATATTTCATTTCCATTCTACGTGACTTTACCCAAAGAACCAAGAAGATGAATCCCTGCAGTCATGAAAGCATTAAATCGAAAAATGTTTTATAATGTTTATAAACACATGGGGTTTGATGAAACAAAGTAATTGTTACTTACGTACCCGTGCTTAATTTGTCTTTCGAAGATTTGCTTTATAAAAAAGTACTATGGCCATGTCTCAGCCCCCAGAAAGAGCATATCGCACCCCTAGTGGGTGCGTGCGCCTCAGGTTAGTAACCACTGGTCTATTAGATGTGTAGTCACGTTAAGGGTGTCACTATGGTGTTAGCGCCAGCCACTGTCACAAGAGTGCTTCTGTGCATCTGGAACCTCTCTCGGGGGCCAGAGTGAGGACGGGGTAGTCTGGGTGAACCCGAGAGGGCACGTGACCGGGACAGGGTAGCGAAGGGGGCTGGAGGGACACGTGATGCTCGGTCGGGATCCTACGGGAAAGATCCCAAAGGGGGCGTGGCCGAGGGCAGAGCGAGACTGTTCCCTGGAATCAACCCTCGGCGCTATGTCTCTCCGATCTTCGGTCTCCGCTCGGCATCGTGGGTCAGTCAGGATTTTACTGACTGACCCGGTTTTGTAGTTACCCTGTTGGGGTCTAGTTAACTTGAGTATGTTTATTTAGTTAGCCCTGTTGGGGCTGTGTAATAAACGTGTTGCCTCCAAGTCAACTGTGTGCCTCCGTGAAGAACACTACAGATGTAAAAAAAACAACCACTGGTCTATGAGATGTAAAAAAACAAGTGTTTCATAGGCAGGATATGGATATATCAAATACACTTTTGAATTCTTGATGTGTTTACTTAAGTTTTGCTCGACGCATCTTCAACTTTCACTTCCACTGTACTAAAAGTTATTATGTTAAGTCATATAATACCATGTACATATTTTTTATATTGCTGTTGGGCTGGCTGGAGGGACGGATGGAAGGATATGCATGTCCAAAGGATGTGGGCATTGTTCGTTTGATGATGACGCAAAAGATTACCAGTTCCGTTTTTGGCGAGTTATGTTCCTTACATATAAACTCTACCATCCAAAAATCAAGACAGAGGCACTCACTCGTCCGAATCGTGGACGGCTACAGACATGGCAAACAAAAACATAATTGAGGAACCAGGAGTATAGGAGTATTGGGCTTCTCTCGCTCACGACAAACCTCCATAAATGGTAGATCAAACAATCACCCAACTACAACTGTGGTAAAGTTCAAGCCGTCAAACGTGTCATCGACGATTTCGTAATTCCATGAACATCCCGGCAGTGTGTCGCTGCAATCCATACAGCGTCTACTGACATCTGAGAGGCGTAGTAGTAGTCGTGCTGTTGTTTTTATAAAGGACGTTGGTCACCGCAGAGAACCGTAGCGACACGACCGCCGCCATTCTACAATAGCTGGGCACCAAAACTGTGCCACACGCCCCTCCCCGCAATGGCCTTGTGGGGAGCCTCCGGATGAAAAAAGTTCATTTAATTTAGTTCTTCTGCCGAATCCATTCCAATTACGTACACTTACACGTACGTCATTGGAATGGGAAAGGGTTAATTGCCCAACCACACTATAATTATGTAACTTCGTCTTGGAAAAATCTATTTCATGTGTACCCACAGTGCGTTCCCACAGCGTTAAAATACAGGAAAAGCCACCCACACGGATGCCTATCTAAAGCCTGACTCCCACCACCATCCAGCCAAGAAGAATTCCCTCATCAAAACACTACACCATAGGGCCCATTGCATCTCAGACCAGCACCACCTAGCCAGTGAGCTGGAGCACGTACACCAAGCCCTCAGGATGAATGGATATTCTGACCGTAAAATCCGCAAAGCTGTCTCCCCAGCTATGGGGAGACAACAATCTGAGGACCCAATCAAAACCATCACCTTGCCATACATAGCAGGGGTTACCAAACAGATTTACAAAATCTTAAACCAACACAAGATCCAGGTTCGGCTCAACACAGTACACAAAATCCGTGATTTGATCCCATCTGTAAAGGATGTGATTCCTGACATGCAATATCCTGGTGTCTACAAACTAAGTTGTGGCTGCGGCAGCAGTTACATTGGGGAAACGAAATGTCTCGGACCGTTTTCGCGAACACAAGGCAGATCTGAAGCACAGTAGGACCAATACCTCTGCCATTGCGGATCATTGTTTTAACGCTGTGGGCACACATGGAATAGATTTTTCCAAGACGAAGGTACTCTGAAATCCAACTGGCTATCAGAGATTTGTTCATGAAGCCATCCAGATATTTTAACAGACAACTTCAACTGAGAAGATGGGTACAAATTGAGCAATCATTGGAAGGACGTGATTAACCAGGTAAAGTCTTAACTTAAAGTGATGTTTCCATCCTGCCAGCGATTTTAGCTGACTCTCTGAGTTGCATTATTTGGTTGGATGTCTTTGTATTGACGGGCTGGATGTCCTTCTCGCTCAAGTCACCGATGCTGCGACATACTAGGCAAGTCACCGATGCTGAGGCATACTAAGCTCGTGCATTGATATGCTAATCTCACACAATACATTAGCCACTTCCACAGCCTCAGGGAGACCATCTCTAGCCCCGCCCTCTTACGCTGAGGCTGAACCCATCTCAGGCCTATATAAGACCTTGTTTCAGTAGCTTTCTCTCTCTCACCTGAAGATGGTCGCTTGGTTGCGATCGAAACGTCATTATCTATTAATAATTTTCCATCTACGTTACTTTACCAAAAGAACCAAAGAGTATATAATTTTCTGTCTTCTTCTTCTTTCGTATGGATGATGTAGATGCAGAGCAACAACTACAATGTCACATTCAGGTGGTCAAGCCCAGACAACCGCAGAAGCTGAGTAGCGAATCCTCATCGCTGTGATGATGTCTCCTTCGTATTTGTGGATTGTAGGGCATTGAGTCGTTATACGTTGTGTACGGTCTGTTCTAAGTGACCACAGTCACACCACTACTGGATTGAAAATAAAATAACAAAAAATCACGACGTTTCGGCCACAACACAAGCGGCCTTCATCAGGTGATGAACTCGTCCCTTCACCTGATGAAGGCCGCTTGTGTTGTGGCCGAAACGTCGTGATTTTTTGTTATTTTATTTTCACCTACGTGACTTTACCCAATAGAACCAAAGAGTATGGATCCTAGCAGTCACGAAAGCTTTAAATCTAGAATCACTACTGGAGTGTTTTCCATTTTCCATTTGTGCATCAGGTAACCGCATCTGCCATGGTTTGTGCAGCGGATGCAGTTTAGGGTGGACCATGAGCTTTGTGGAAGATCAAAACCCAAGGATCTTCTGCCTTGGGTCTTTCACAACAAGGTGTGACCAAAATGGAACTCACCTTTTCCAAGGTCCTCCTCGTCCAATTCCACCTTGATGAAGTTCAGGCCTGCAGTGGGCAGGAATCCATGGGAATCTTCCACCTCTTCTGGCTTCTCACTGGCTCCCTCAATCTTCACATTCTTCAGAAGTTCAGCTGGAATTAATAAAACGCAGCATAAGTTTTCACCTGTGCTTTGAAGAAGGGCCATTGGCTGCTAAAAATGTCACCATTGATATATATACTAGTTCATAAAGCCCGTCTTCGCCAGGCAAATGTTTAAACAAATATAAAACATATAACCTGATGTTTTTTTAACAATTTTTATCTACGATCAGGCACAAACAACTATTTCAAAAACTTAGCACTTTTCCACACAAAAACTCAAATTGTTGACTTGATTAAACTTTTTATATTTAAAGACGTACCCATCGGAAACCGCTCAATTTAAAGAATCCGTTCTTTTTTTATTAGAAAGAATAAAAATGTATGAACTTAATACTTCATGAGGGGGAGCTCCTATCTTTTACCATTTTGGAATTATTCAGATTTGAACATAATAAATGTGTATTTTTTTCGTTCAAAACCGCTTTAATCGGAAATATCTCAAAAACAATAAAATATAGAACAAGGATTCTCACTGTAATCTGATTTGCCGTTTAACGCTCTATCAAATTAAAAAACACGCAATCTGAATGACAAGCACAAACATGTTTATAGGGCATTAAAATCGAGTTTCAGGGGCCTTAAAATAAAAAAATTCCCTGATTTTCATATATTTTTTTCTGTTGTTTGTGTCCTAAAAGCTATCTATGTGCCAAATTTCAGCTTTCTTCCTGGTCAGGAAGTACCCTAGATATTTTGAGAAATACATACAGATTAAGGTCTTTATTTATATAGAAGATAGATGTAGATTTATTTTTAAGACCACAGTATTATTGTTCTGCATGAGTATGAAGTATTTTAAGATAAAACATTTTTTTTTTACCAGGTAAAGCCCACCGAGCTATACAAGCTCTTTTTCAGGAATGACCTGGCCATAAGTGATAGCTTAACGAAATGGCTTATTATCACGTGAAAATGTAGATCAGTAACCAAATGCATGATTATCTGTGGAGGGAAAAACCGGAGGACCCAGAGAAAAATCCACATGACTACAGGGAGAGAGAGACGCAAACTCCAAATATACAGCAGGCATCAAAATCAGGATAAAACTGATGACCTCCTGTATACCACGCAAGGTAGTTAACATCTCGCCACTGTGCTAGATTTGAAGCTTTCGTGACTGCAAGGATCCATACTCTTTGGTTCTATTCGGTAAAGTCACGTAGGTAAAAAATAAAATAACAAAAATCACGACGTTTCGGCCACAACACAAGTGGCCTTCATCAGGTGAAGGGACCGTGCTGTCATGAGGACAGCGTTGGAGTGAAAACAGCCAAGCCCAGGTCGCGTCCTTTAAGCTGTGTGGGAGGAAGCAAAACGCTTGACAAATTTGTCAAATTTGTCAAGCGTTTTGTCAAATTTGTCAAGCGTTATGCTTCCTCCCACACAGCTTAAAGGACGCGACCTGGGCTTGGCTGTTTTCACTCCAACGCTGTCCTCATGACAGCACGGTCCCTTCACCTAATGAAGGCCACTTGTGTTGTGGCCAAAACGTCGTGATTTTTTGTTATTTTATTTTTTACCTACGTGACTTTACCGAATAGAATCAAAGAATATCTCGCCACTGTGTGTAAGATGGCAGCAGCCTTAACAAGGCCCACTCTGTAAAGTGAGAAATCACGACGAATGCCATCAACCGAACAGAGATCATTGATCTCCCAGTCTCCTGGTCTCCACAGCAACAACAACGCCTTCTCCGTGACCAAAACGGGACAACTTACCTCGAGCAGCGTACTTCTCCAATTCCACCTTGACGTAGTCCTGGTCTGAAGTGGCTACACACGCACGGGAATCCGCCATCTCCTCTGGCCTCTCACTGCCTCCCTCAATCTTAACATTCTTTGGAAATTGAGCTGCAATTAATAAGGCATGGTTTTTCATATGTACTGCAAGGAAGGATAATTGCCCCATGTGTATGTGTTGAACTTATTTCGCATTGTACGTAACCAACCATATTTATGTTCAACTGCTTTCGCACCGCACGTAGCCAACCATGCTAATTTCCTGAAAGATCACCAACTATATACTCTTTTCTCTTGAAGGCCAGTGTAATTGATAAGTGGATTGAGGTTTTTTGTTGTATTCCATAGATGGGAGGTGTAATGCATACAAAAGCAAGAGATTTTAACGGCCCAAATATGGACGTTTCTCACCCTCAACGTTGATGCGGTTCCTTAGTTTGTGAATGGAGTCTTGGACTTCCAATTAGATTGAAATTGTAATACAGTGGACTCTCGATTATCTGCATGTGCGGTTTATCCCATTTGCAGGTTAACCACGCAGCTGAGATTTTTACATAAATTAATAACTCGTGTATTTTCCCTTTATCCCAAAGTAATAATCTAAAAATAGTTAAATATTGTTAGTCTTGGAAATGTTTTTACAAGTCACATGCTTAAACCTAAAAAAATGTGTGCTCCGGTTAATCTGAAATCCATGTGATCACCTCTACAGTACAGTAGTCTATACATATCTACATAAAAGTAAAAAATTGTCTGTTTGTCGGTTTATGGCTTTGTGTGTGTTCGCGGGCTTGCGAAGGGTTTGGCACTCCAACGGTGGGGTTTACGTTAAATAAAAATAGCCAGTTACCATGCCGTAAGCCCCGCCGTGAGCATGCGTTATTCATTTTTCACATCCGTCAAGTATAATTAGCGATTTAGTGTGATTTTTTGGCGCTCTCTCTTTATTTATTTATGACGCATGCACGACTATACCAACTGACGCACCTTTGGTGGGGGGGACGGCCCATGCCAAGTCCACGCCTTCGGTGGGAGTGAGGGGGACATTTTTTTTAGCGTTAAAAATGCTTTAAAAAAACACAAAACGCTCAGGTAAATTCTTCACTGTGTGATGTCCCCCCCACCCCGATGCGTGCAGTCACTAATATATACAGTCGCTAGATGCTACCACTATAGGCCGTAGATAGTACTGCAGAGCGGCCGGGGAGATCGTGGCTGGGGGGGGGTCAGGGGTAGCAGCCGAGTCCCAGCCTGCCAAGGTGCCATCTCGGCCGGCTGGACAATCTAGGCGAGGCCAGAGGCTCTGCACGGGACTAGGCCTCACCACGCCACTCTGTCAGGTGAGAATTTTTTTGCTATCGAGTTGATAAATACTGCTATAGAGTCAGCATGTATTACTGTAGTGATAGCAGGTACCACCACAATCGGTATGCACTGGTGTAATCATACAAGGTACCACCACAGTCAGTACCCACCGCTGTTACATTTTTAAGAGTAGTTTTGACATATTTTTTTGGCCCGGGCAACACCAGGTATATAAGCTAGTTGCATATATTTGCAACAGTGGGCAAAGTTTTATTGATTTTTATTGGCGTGGCTCTGCTGTCCACTTAGCGGGAGGAGTCTTCTGCACGGGAGCAGGAAAATGTTATCATGAAGCACACGCATCGATTGGTCAATGTAAGCATTCTATATTGAAAGAGTAACAATCGAAATCGTCAGTTGTAATAAAACTATCAATACATACTTTACTCCAAGTATTTTTCTGTTCATTAAAAAAACTACATTTTCTTAACTGAAACGTAATTTATACCTAGATTAGTGGTTTTTGACATCGAGATCCGCGGGATTATCCACGGCCGTCCTCCCCGTCATTACCACAGAAAATTGAGAGTCTACTGTACGTATCGGAGAGAAGAATAGGTGCTGCTGATCTCACCGCCATGAATGTCTGCGCTTTTCATCCCCAAATCTGGCCAGGTCTCAAGACGAGTATTGTCTTCACATTCTTGTTTGATGGATGCAAAGTCAATCCAAGAAGCCATCTGAGGAGCAAAAATAAAACCAACAACAATAAGACAGGCACAAGTGTAGTGATTTGATCACAACCGAAAATACCCACCCCTGACTTTATGGACACGGCATGCATGACACGGACAGTCATGAAAATAAAAACAAGCCCCCCTGATTGGTACTTCACGGGCCTGAAAGGGGATTGGTTTGAGGCATGGAAATTGAAAGGGGTTGGAGGAGAAATATAACATGGAAAGAGCATGAAACGGAGGAAGATTGACAGGGAGGACGGTTGGAATGCATTAGAGAAAGTGGAAGGCGATTGGCTGGAGGCTTTTCAGAAAGTTACAGAGCCTTTGGGAAAGGGGCTTTAGGGATAATTTAAGGGAAAGCGAGATAGTTTGAGATTCCTGAAGTGAAGGGAATCCTTGACAACCTGCTTGTGTCCCGTGCCTGAGGAAATAAAGAGACTACACACGTATAAAAAAAATGAATAGATCATGACGTTTCGATTGCAACACAAGCAACCGTCATCAGGTGAGACAAACACAGCAAGAGAACTGCTGACGCAGTCAGCCAGCATATCGAAACGTCGTGGCCATACATCACAAGTTCATCACCTTGCCATACATAGCAGGGGTTACCAAAAAGATTTCCAAAATCTTAAACAAACACAAGATACAGGTTCGTCTCAACACAGTACACAAAATCCGTGATTTGATCCCATCTATAAAGGATGTGATTCCTGACATGCAATATCCCGGTGTCTACAAACTAAGTTGTGGTTGCGACAGCAGTTACATTGGGGAAATGAACCGACATGTCCCGGACCGTGTTCGCGAACACAAGGCAAATTTGAAACATGGCAGAACCAATACCTCTGCTGTGGCTGATCACTGTTTGAACGCGGTGGGCTCACACGACATTGTCTTTTCCGAGACAAAGGTACTCTGCAAACCTTCGGGCTACCATCAAAGATTTGTCCATGAAGCAATGCAGATTTAGAAACACAGACACAACTTCAACCGAGATGGACACAAATTAAGCAAACATTGGAAGGACATGATCAACCAGGTTAAGTTAACTGCTTTGATTTTCCCTTCCTACCTGCCAATATTCTCCAAATCTCAAATTTCAGGACCCTAGCCTAGCTCTGCCCTCACCGAGCTTACATTTACAAGCAAATTTCCGGGCCTTTGTCGAGTTTACATTTCCAAGCAAATTTCCGGGCCCTAGCCGAGCTCGGCCCTTGCCGAGCTTACATTTAGTGAAACCTTGAATTGCGTAACTTGGTCTGCGAGTGTTTTGCAAGACGAGCAAAAATTTTAAGTAAATAATTTGATAAATGAGCGATGTCTTGCAATACGAGTAGTACGTACAGTATACGCTTTGTCTGTTTAGCGTCATGTGATCACAACTGAGCCAATGGTTCTTCTCTCTCTCTCGCTGCGGGATTGTGGGTAATCATCTCCCATGCTCGGTCTCAATCGGCGTGCCTCACTCGTACAGTCAACATCCGTGCGAACGTATACTGCTTACTACAGTATAATGTTGTGACCACGTGGGTGTGCGTAAAGCATTTTTTTTATTTTGTGTCCAAGTGTAGTGACTGTTCTTTAGTACCTGTACTGAAAGTCGTCCTACACAATAATCCTCCTCCTCCTCTCCTCTCTCTCATCTCCCTCACACCAGCTACGATTAAATGTAATAAATTTGATTACTTTATATTAAATTTAAATAATAAAAATATAAAAACATTTTTTGTATTAATCATTTTTATATGAATACAATATTTTTGGGTTGTGGAACGAATCATCTGAGTTTCCATGATTTCTTATGGGGAAATTCGCTTTGATATACGAGTGCTTTGGATTACGAGCACGTTTCCGGAACAAATTATGCTCGCAATCCAAGGTTTCACTGTCCAAGCAAATTTCTTTCTCCTACTCGCTCTCTCCTACTCGCTCCCACATTAACATTAGCTGCCACGCCCATCTATAAAGCTTTATAAACAGCCTGCCTCAACAGATTCCCCCTCTTTTTACACACTGTTATTAAACTCACTTTGTTGTTGTCGTTATCGGTTTTATTGCACACTTTTATTTAACTCACTGTCTGTTTTGATTTAAAGCTTTCGTGACTGCAGGAATTCATATTCTTGGTTCTTTCGGTAAAGTCATGTAGAAACAATAAGATAATGAAAATATTTTTTAATAATAAATTAATAACAACATATTTTTTATAATAAAAATATATTTTTATTATTTACCGAAAGACTTTAATAATAAGCACTTTACCGAAAGAACCAAGAATATGAATATCACTGTTGTTGTTGTATCCTCAAATCTTGTAACTCAATTTTAACCCACTTCCCAATGTGGTATCGACTGCAAACTTGGTATACTTATGTCATTACTGATGACAATACTTTATTCTATCATAAAAAAATATATATTTTTAAACATTATTTTTTATATGTTATGTTTCGGCATGGGTCTAATTGTCCACGGTCAACTGACGTTGGCTGTAATTGACCACAGTCCCTTACGTTATGGCAAGCTTCGGTCGACTTCCTGGAGTCGTGGAGTTCTTTCATTACTTGTACATTTCTTAAAAGCGTGTTTTTATATTACTTATTCACCTGAAGACGGTTGCTTGTGTTGCGATCGAAACGTCGTGATATATTATTGTTTCTACCTACGTGAATTTACCGAAAGAACCAAGAATATGAATCCCTGCAGTCACGAAAGCTTTAAATCTAAAGTTTTTACAGTAGTTTTATAGTTTTAACTCGACCATGTCCGGTCAAGTTAATATTGTTATGATCACGGTATGCAATAATTGTGCATTGCACAGTCCCTGCTATAGAGTATTTGACTGCTGCTATAAATTTCCACGCGATGATGATGATACTCTTTGGTCGAGCTATCATCTGTGATGATCAGGTCACCTCAAAAAAAGCTACAAAGCAGCTCAGTTGGGGAGGGCCTTACACCTGGTAAACTTAACATAGTTAAACAAAAATAGTAATACCGTAGCAATAATATGTACTGTGTCCACGCTACGTATTGTAATATCTATGTAAAATAATAATACAGTACACGGCAGTGTGTGCAATACGTTCGAGACGCGTTAACCTTCACGAAGCAGTAGATTAGAGCATTAGAACAATTTAAATTAACGCGCGCACTTACGATTGCATTGAGAGACGGGGTACAATTTAATTTGGTTCAACAGCATAAATTAATGCTGTTGAACCAAACAGTTCTTGTTGAACCAAACAGTTCTTGTTGAAACCCTCTGCTGCCAGACCACCAAGATTATATGGCCTTCCAAAGATACACAAAGAGATACACCCCTTCGTCCCATCGTCTCTACTATCAACTCCCCCACCTATAAACTGGCACGTTTTCTTGCTGATATACTGCGACCTTTCACTGGAAAAACCACCTCTGCGGTACTAAATTCTACTCACCTGGTATCGACAATCAAAGGCATTTCCCTGTCCCCAGACGACCTGCTTGTCAGTTTTGATGTGGTGTCCTTGTTCACCAAAGTCCCGGCACCTGACACCATCGCTATCATTGAAAACCTGGTTCATCAAGGACTGCATACTGATGTACCCCCCCTGGTGAGACATTGCTTAACCAACATATACTTCACCTGGAATGGAACTTTCTACAAACAAACTGAGGGCACCTCAATGGGCTCCCCCCTAACTCCGGTTGTAGCCAACGTATTCATAGAAAAATTAGAAACTGACGCCATCCAGACTGCCACTCTACGCCCGACCTTATGGAAGAGGTACGTGGATGACACCTTTGTCATCTGGCCACATGGCCAGCCTGCTCTAGACCAATTCCGCGACCACATCAATTCCATCCACCCAGCCATCAGATTTACCATGGAGGTCGAAAAAGATGGCAAACTACCCTTTTTGGATGTCTTAATTAAAAGGAGACATGATGGTTCAATGAGCCACTCTGTCTACAGGAAAGCTACCCATACAGATGCTTACTTGAAACCGGATTCCCACCACCATCCATCCCAGAAGAACTCCCTCATCAAGAGTCTATACCATAGAACCCAATGCATTTCCAACCAGGAACACATTACCAGTGAACTCAGGCACGTACACCAGGCTCTCAGGGCTAATGGTTACTCCGACTACACAATCCGCAAAGCCATCACTCCAGTCATGAAGAAGGATCCTCTTGTGGAGCCACTCAAAACCATCACCTTACCCTACATTGCAGGGGTCACTAAAAAGATCTTCAAAATCCTGAATAAACATAAGATCCAGGTCCGATTCAACACAGTACATAAAATCCGTGATCTAGTTCCATCTGTAAAAGAGGCTGTTCCAGACATACAGTACCCGGGCGTTTACAAACTAAAGTGCCTCTGTGGTAGTAGCTACAATGGAGAAACCAAACGACATATCTCGGACCGCATCCGCGAACATAAAGCAGACTTGAAACACGGCAGAACGAACTCCTCTGCCGTGGCAGATCACTGTTACAATTCAGTGGGCTCACATGACATTGACTTCTCCAAGACGGAGGTTCTTTGCAAACCAACCGGCTACCATGAGAGATTCGTTCATGAGGCCATTCACATATACAAGCACAGAGACAATTTCAACCGAGAAGATGGATTCTGGCTTAGTAACCATTGGAAAGATGTTTTAAACCATTTCCGTTCTTAATTAATTGTATTTTACGATTAACTTCAGACCGCAGCTCTTTCTCTGGCATTGACTCTTAATACCTCTCACACCACGGTTAATGGTATGGTTTACAACATGGAGTATAACAGCGCCTCGCAGCTGTCTCTCTCCCCCTCCTCTGTTCCGACCATGGATGAACTCGTCCGTCTGAACGGGGCCCGTAGCTATCCGTGTTGCTAAAGTTGAGGGTAAGAATCCATTCTAGATAAGAATCCACCCATTTTCTCACCATATAGCATTGTGATATATAACGACTTATTGTTGGTAGCTTAGCTGATTGGAGAATATAGAGTTTATTGATAACATTGAGGTATATTCTTAGTTTTTTCAGTAAAGTCACGTTGAAGAGAAACAACAAACCAACACACCTGATGATGACCGTTTGAGTTATGGTCGAAACGTCGTGAGAATTTTTTATTGTTTTATATATATTTTGTTATTTTGTTGTTTCTCTTCAACGTGACTTTACCGAAAAAACTAAGAATATGAATTACTGCAGTCACGAAAGCTTTAAATCAAAACATTGAGGTAATTTATTTTTTAGTTTTTTATTGGTTCACTATATAGTATTCATTATATATTGTAGTGTATACCCAGTTACTGTGAATAGCTCAGATGTGTAGGCCTTGACTTCAACATAGCCATTTCTGTGACCAGTCACAAGCTAATCACTCAGTTATTTCAATGCTAAATTCGCCTAGTTATTTCAATGCTAAATTCTCCTGTTTGATTTGTACTAGGTGCCTCTGTGAATGTATATGCTCTGACTTTAACATAGCTATTTCTGTGACCAGTTACAAGCTAATCACTCAGCTATTTCAATGCTAAATTCTATGCTAATTCCTTTGTCAAGGGGTGCCTCTGCGGATGTGTATGCTTTAACTTAGCTATTTCAATGCTAAATTCTATGCTAATTCCTTTGTCAAGGGGTGCCTCTGCGGATGTGTATGCTTTAACTTTAACATAGCCATTTCTGTGACCAGTCACAAGCTAATCACTCAGCCATTTCAATGCTAAATTCTATGCTAATTCCTTTGTCAAGGCGCTTTGTTTCTTCTCACACAGCTTAAAGGTCGCGATCTGAGCGTGGCTTTTTCACTCCAGCGCTGTCCTCCAGACAGTCTCGTCCCTTCACCTGATGAAGGCCGCTTGTGTTGTGGCCGAAACGTCGTGAGAATATTGTTATTTTATCAATTTATTATGTTATTCTCATTCTACGTGACTTTACCGAAAGAACCAAAGAAGATGAATCCTTGCAGTCACGAAAGCTTTAAATCGGATTGGACCTACCACGGTCTCACCCGGACTCCGTCGCGCGGCAAGGCGCGCAAGATCTCCGGCAGCAGAATCAGGCAAGGCAGGCCCTGGCCCGGGCCCGTGGCGCGCCGGGACGACGAGGGCTTTTGTCCGGCAGCGAAATCAGGCAAGGTAGGCCCTGCGCTTGCGCTTGGGCCCGGGGCCCGCCAGGACCCGAGGGATGTGTGCCTGCGTGTTTTATTTTGCACTTTAATAAATATTTATCAAATAAATAAATAAACGGCTAAATTATGAAGAGGATTCACATCACACGCAATGCAGCGATCACATTCAAACGCCACACACACAAGAGATTACAAATGAATAAAAAATTCCCTTTCCACTTCGTGCTCCCTGCTGGCTCAGTGGAATGACAAAGGTCCCCCGTGTAGCCCACACGGGATGTAGGGCAAGTGCTGTGAGCACACAGACAAAGGTCCCCCGAGTAGCCCACACGGGATGTAGGGGCAAGTGCTGTGAGCACACAGACAAAGGTCCGCGTGTAACCCACAGAGGCTATAGGGGGAAGTGCTGTGAGCACACACACACACAAAGGTCCCCCATGTAGCCCACACGGGCTGTAGGGGTAAGTGCTGTGAGCACACACACACACAAAGGTCCCCCGAGTAGCTCACACGGGCTGTAGGGGCAAGTGCTGAGCACACACAAAGGTCCCCCGTGTAGCCCAGACGGGCTGTAGGGGCAAGTGCTGTGAGCACACACACACACAAAGGTCCCCCGTGTAGCCCAGACGGGCTGTAGGGGCAAGTGCTGTGAGCACACACACACACACAAAGGTCCGTGTAGCCCACACGGGCTGTAGGGGCAAGTGCTGTGAGCACACACACAAAAGCAAAGGTCCCCCGTGTAGCCCACACGGGCTGTAGGGGCAAGTGCTGTGAGCACACACACAAAGGTCCCCCGTGTAGCCCACACGGGCTGTAGGGGCAAGTGCTGTGAGCACACACACACACACAAAGGTCCCCCGTGTAGCCCACACGCGCTGCGTGTCTCTCAGATCAATGGCACGGACGATGGCGTTAAGTCCAGGAGGTGCCAGTGCTTGGAACCTGGGATGCTTCCGCGTGGTCTTTTGTTGGTCTCTCTGGCGACCGACTGCGCTATCTTGTTTTTGATCTGCGAAGCCGACTCCGTGGAGCAGATGTTCAGTCCAGCTTCCCCTTCCAGACGAAGTTAGACCACCGTGCTTTTTTATTGGGTGCAATTGTGAACAATAGCCATATCAGACATTTGTACATCTGTAGTGTGTTATTACAGAGGCGCACACACTATTGTTTGAGGCAACGCGTTTAATAAGCAACCTCACTAATCACCGAGTTCTACAGTTAAGTGTGGCCATACTGTTCCTAGACTGTTCGCTGTATGTGTGTGTGAGTTAGCTGAACGAATGGGCCAGCCAGCACATACGCTGCCTGACCCACGATCCCCAGCTAAGACTCTACGGCAAACGAGGAGCGAAGACCCCCTTGAGGTTGATCCCCACGAACGAACGAACCCCGAATTTAATTTTGATTGAAAGCTTTCGTGACTGCAGGGATTCATATTCTTGGTTCTTTCGGTAAAGTCACGTAGAAGGGAAACAATAAAATAATTAAAAAATATGTATAAAACATTAAAATTCTCACGACGTTTCGATTGCAACACAAGCAATCATCATCAGGTGTGAAAGCCACAGCAAGAAAATTTGAAAAAAAAATATTGCTGTGGTTTTCACACCTGAAGATGATTGCTTGTGTTGCAGTCGAAACGTCGTGAGATTTTATTGTTTTATATTTTTTTATTATTTTATTGTTTCCCTTCTACGTTACTTTACCGAAATAAATTTCGATTTAAAGCTTTCGTGACTGCAAGGATGAATCTTCTTTGGTTCTTTCAGTAAAGTCATGTAGAATGAGAATAAAATAATAAATTGATAAAATAAAATGACACAATGAAATTCTCACGACGTTTCGACCACAACACAAGCGACCTTCATCAGGTGAAGGGACGAGACTGTCTGGAGGACAGCGCTGGAGCGAACACAGCCAAGCTCAGACCGCGACCTTTAAGCTGTGTGAGAAGAAACAGAGAGCCTTGACAAAGGAATTAGCATAGAATTTAGCATTGAAATAGCTGAGTGATTAGCTTGTGACTGGTCACAGAATTGGCTATGTTAAAGTCAAAGCATACACATCCACAGAGGCACCTAGTACAAATCAAACAGGAGAATTTAGCATTGAAATAACTGAGGGAATAGCTTGTGACTGGTCATAGAAATAGTTAAGTTAAAGTCAAAGCCTACACATCTACAGAGGCACCTAGTACATGGACGCCAAAGGGGTCCATGTACTAACATATAGTAAACCGATGTGAAAAAACCTAAGTCTAAATTACATCAATATAATAAATGTACTCAATATTATCTTCAATAAGCTGAGCTATTAACAGTAACTGGGTATACACTACACTATATAATGAATACTATATAGTAAACCAATAAAAAACTAAAATATAAATTACCTCAATGTTATCAATAAACTCTATATATTCTCCAATCAGCTAAGCTACCAACAATAAGTCGTTATATATCACAATGCTCTATGGCGAAAAAAATGGGTGGATTCTTACCCTCAACTTTAGCACCACGGATAGCTACGAGCCCCGTTCAGACGGACGAGTTCATCCATGGTCGTAACGGAGGAGGGGGAGAGAGACAGCTGCGAGGTGCTATTATACTCCATGTTGTAAACCATACCATTAACCGTGGTGTGAGAGGTATTAAGAGTCAATGCCAACGAAAGAGCTGTGGTCTGAAGGTCATCGTAAAATACAATTAATTGAGAACGGAAATGGTTTAAAACATCTTTCCAATGGTTACTAAGCCAGAATCCATCTTCTCGGTTGAAATTGTCTCTGTGCTTGTATATGTGAATGGCCTCATGAACGAATCTCTCATGGTAGCCGGTTGGTTTGCAAAGAACCTCCGTCTTGGAGAAGTCAATGTCATGTGAGCCCACTGAATTATAACAGTGATCTGCCACAGCAGAGGCGTTCGTTCTACCGTGTTTCAAGTCTGCTTTATGTTCGCGGATGCGGTCCGAGATATGTCGTTTGGTTTCTCCAATGTAGCTACTACCACAGAGGCACTTTAGTTTGTAAACACCCGGGTACTGCATGTCTGGAACAGCATCTTTTACAGATGGAACCAGATCACGGATTTTATGTACTGTGTTGAATCGGACCTGGATCGTGTGTTTATTCAGGATTTTGGAGATATTTTTAGTGACCCCTGCAATGTAGGGTAAGGTGATGGTTTTGAGTGGCTCCACAAGAGGATCCTTCTTCATGACTGGAGTGATGGCTTTGCGGATTGTGTAGTTGGAGTAACCATTAGCCCTGAGATCCTGGTGTACGTGCTTGAGTTCACTGGTAATGTGTTCCTGGTTGGAAATGCATTGGGCTCTATGGTAAAGAGTCTTGATGAGGGAGTTCTTCTGGGATGGATAGTGGTGGGAATCCGGTTTCAAGTAAGCATCTGTATGGGTAACTTTCCTGTAGACAGAGTGGCTCATTGAACCATCATGTCTCCTTTTAATTAAGACATCCAAAAAGGGTAGTTTGCCATCTTTTTCGACCTCCATGGTAAATCTGATGGCTGGGTGTATGGAATTGATGTGGTCGCAGAATTGGTCTAGAGCAGGCTGGCCATGTGGCCAGATGACAAAAGTGTCATCCACGTACCTCTTCCATAAGGTCGGGCGTAGAGTGGCAGTCTGGATGGCGTCAGTTTCAAAATTTTCCATGAATACGTTGGCTACAACCGGAGATAGGGGGGGAGCCCATTGGGGTGCCTTCAGTTTGTTTGTAGAAAGTTCCATTCCAGGTGAAGTATGTGTTGGTTAAGCAATGTCTCACCAGGGGGGGCACATCAGTATGCAGTCCTTGATGAATCAGGTCTTCAATGATAGCGATGGTGTCAGGTACTGGGACTTTAGTGAACAAGGACACCACATCGTAGCTATCTGTGGTGCTAAAGCTGAGGGAAAGAATCCACCCATTTTTTTCGCCATATAGCATTGTGATATATAACGACTTATTGTTGGTAGCTTAGCTGATTGGAGAATAGAGTTTACTGATAACATTGAGGTAATTTATATTTTAGTTTTTTATTGGTTTACTATATAGTATTCATTATATAGTGAAGTATATACCCAGTTACTGTTCATAGCTCAGCTTATTGAAGAATATATTGAGTACATTTATTATATTGATGTAATTTAGACTTAGGTTTTTTCACATCGGTTTACTATATGATAGTCGAGTTGTTGCAGCCCCTTTGGCGTCCATGTACTAGGTGCCTCTGTAGATGTGTAGGCTTTGACTTTAACATAGCTATTTCTGTGACCAGTCACAAGCTAATCCCTCAGTTATTTCAATGCTAAATTCTCCTGTTTGATTTATACTAGATGCCTCTGTGGATGTGGAGGCTTTGACTTTAACATAGCCATTTCTGTGACCAGTCACAAGCTAATCACTCAGCTATTTCAATGCTAAATTCTCCTGTTTGATTTGTACTAGGTGCCTCTGTAGATGTGTAGGCTTTGACTTTAACATAACTATTTCTACGACCAGTCACAAGCTAATCCCTCAGTTATTTGAATGCTAAATTCTCCTGTTTGATTTGTACTAGGTGCCTCTGTGGATGTGTATGCTTTGACATTAACATAGCCATTTCTGTGACCAGTCACAAGCTAATCACTCAGCTATTTCAATGCTAAATTCTATGCTAATTCCTTTGTCAAGGCGCCCTGTTTCTTCTCACACAGCTTAAAGGTCGCGGTCTGAGCTTGGCTGTGTTCGCTCCAGCGCTGTCCTCCAGACAGTCTCGTCCCTTCACCTGATGAAGGCCGCTTGTGTTGTGGCCGAAACGTCGTGAGAATTTTATTGTGTTATTTTATTTGATCAATGTATTATTTTATTCTCATTCTACGTGACTTTACCGAAAGAACCAAAGAAGATTTACCGAAAGAACCGAGAATATGAATCCCGAATTGCCGAACGCGCTCCCCCTTTTATCCCCCGGCCCCGCCCCTTGCTCTATCAAGGACGACGCCCCCCGCTTCTGGCCACGTGCCCTTGATTCCTCCAATCGAGGCCCACTTTCGGTCACGTGCTCCTAGCTTGCCCAATCGAGGCACCGCTGTCGGCCACGTGCCTTTAACTCGTCCAATCGAGGCCCGTTTCCGGTCACGTGCCTTCCTCGTCCAATCGGGGCACCCGGCGCTCCAGCATTGTGGCTCACGTGACCCACAGAGACATCTAACTGTCGATTTAAAGCTTTCGTGACTGCAGGGATTCATATTCTTGGTTCTTTCGGTAAAGTCACCACGTAGAAGGGAAAAAATAAAACAATACAATTCTCACGACGTTTCGATTGCAACACAAGTAATCAGCATCAGGTGTGAATAACCACAGCAAGAAATTTTGAAAAAAAAATGCAAAATTAGAAAATATTTTTCTAAATATTTTTAAATTTTCTTGCTGTGGGTTTTCACACCTGAT